GAACCAGCAGATTCTTTGCTTTTGAGACAAGGTCTCCTGTTTCTCATGACACCTAGAACTTCTGAGCCTTCTCCTCCTCCTCTTAAACCCATAGGGAACTTCCTGTGTCAGCTTTCTAACTGGTGGCATTACAGGCATGCAGCACTGTGACAGGCTAGTCTGGAGATCTAGGATAAGTGTGGTAGGATAACCAGGAGTGAGGGGATCTCTTCATGCTCCCTACATTTGGCTGGAGTGTAGGGAGCTCTGTGAATCTATGGGAAATGCTGTTCAGAGGATCAAAAAGCTATCTTTAGGCCAGGTATGGTGGTACATGCCTTTAATCCCAGCACTGGTAGGCAGAGGCAGGAAGACCACTGTGAATTCCAGGCCAGCCAGTGCTACATAGATAGTAAGCAACTCTGGACAAGTAATTTTTTCAAGCTTAGTTTTCCTCATCTGTAACAATGGGAACAGGAAAATACTTCAAAAGTCACTGGGAGATTCAATAATCAGTGCTTAGTGAATGGAAACTGAATCAATGTTCACCTCATCACACATAGAAGTGACACTCCAGCGTTGGCAGGAGCTGCCCCTCTTACCAGTTTGCATTCTATTTGACTTTCTTCACCTTACTCTGGTTTCTTAGATGTCTTCCTGATTCAGGTTTCTTTCTGTGATGCTAATTTTATACAGCCCATTGTTTTCTATAATTAATGTTTATTAAGGATAGATGTGGTCCTCACCTACAAGGACAGAGCTCTGGGAGGGGAGGACGAAGGCACATTCCCTAGGCCCTCCCTGACCTAGTTCTATTAGGTAACTTTTATTGCCCCATCGGCTCAGTAGCTTCCTTATACGTTAAAGGAGAGTTATTACTGGCTACAAATTCTTAATCAGTAATGTGCACTTTATGATAGAGAATGCACATTTATGTTTTAGGCAGTCCTCCTATTAAACCTTGAGCAAACCCAAAACAAAAGAAAATAGAAGGCAGGCTATTCCGCTTCCCCTCTATTCCATACATTTCCACTTAAATCCTTTGTAGAGATTCATGACTATGTCATATTATACCTTGCTTGTGTCAGGAAGACTTTCTTTGCTTATTCAAATCACATAAGCTGACAATGAACAGTACACCCTCATATAGTACTGCATAATTTACCACTGTGTCTAACAAAGGGATTTATTATCGACACAAAAGTCCTTGAATAAATGATTCTTCCTGAACTTAGAACCTATTTCTTTATCCCAGTGTTTTAAAGGAGAACTTTAATTTTAGAAATACTCACATTTTAAAAATAAACTTGTCATACTTAACTTCCATGCTAAATGTTTAAACCGTGTCCATTATGAAAAATGGAACTGAAAGTAAAAGGTTGAATAGAGGACAGCAGGCTATAAATTCTTTAACAGCAAGCCAAGAGGTTTGATGTTCAGTTAATTTATCTCTGGGGTTGGGGAGAAGGCTCTGTATTTAGGAGCTCTGGCTGCTCTTGCAGATGACCCGGGTTTGGTTCTCAGCACCCATATGGCATCAAACCTTCTATAATTCCAGTCCCAGGGGGTCTGACAACCTCTTCTGGCCTCTGCAAGCATTGCATACATGTGGTGCACTTACATACATGAAGATAAAAGTAAGTAAGAATTATCTCTGGAAATAAGCATGGGACCAACAAGACTGCTCAGCAGCTAAAGGCACTTGCCATTAAACCTGACGATCTGAGTTGGAGGTCCATAACCCACACAGTAGAACTGACTCTTCCAAGTTGTTCTCTGACTTCCACACACAGGCCAACATACACTCACACATATAATAAATAATAATAAATGGCAGTAAGAACAAAATGTCACAAACCAGCATGAGATAATCAGCAATGTACTCTGTTCTCAAGCAGGCCATGTTCTGGGCAGCAGCCTCTGCTATGAAGGCTCTGGAGTCATGTGGTTTCAGTTTATTAAAATCACAAAAGAGATGTGTGGCTTCTTTAAATAAAGGTACAGGATGGCCAGGTAACACCTAATGAAGAAACGAGAAGTATTTCAATCTCCTAATGTTCCAAAGCAGCACAGTTCTGTAATCAGTACTCAAGGATTGCTACCTCAAAGGCAGAGGAAACTCACTTCAGAAACCTTGTTGGATAATAATTATACAACCCCCACCCCAAACAGCAACAACAACAACAACAAACCTCAATAAATTAATTTAGTACAAACCTTTGCTCCTCCTGCCTGAAGAAGGCGCTTGAACCCTGCTTCTCGGGGTCGATCAACATGTAAAATAACCTTCCACCCGCTAAATGCTCCCTACAAATAATAATAATAAATCAGTGCTGAAATCCTTTGGGAAAAAAATAGTACATGTAGTATTAAACATTTAAAATTCACAGGTTATACACGAATTTATAAATTATCTGATGTCAAGACAAAGTTTTTGTTTTTTAAAAAATATTTAATTTTATGCATATGTCTGTGTGCCTGAATGTATATGCACTATATGCATGCAGGTCAGAAAAGGCACTGGATTCCCTGGAATTCAAGTCCCACACAGTTGTGAGCCATCTGACATGGGAGCTGGGAATCAAACCTGGGTTCTCTGTAAGAGTAGTAAGTGCTCTTAACTGCTGAGAAGTCTCTCCAGCCCTGCTTTTTTATTATTTTTTAAAAAAATTCTATTTACTATTTTAATGTGTATGAGTGTACTGACTTCAATGAAAGTGCACTTGTGTCATGCAGTGCCCTAGAACTGGAGTTATAAATGGATATCTCTTTAAAATATTTACAAGTTGGGAAAAGAAAATATTTAAATAAGGAAGACCACTTAGTAAAAACTAGTACAACTGCTCTGGACTCAAAGCTAATGAAGCTTTGAAGATTGCAAAGAATTTGGAATGTAACATGAGAGACTAATTAGGTATCTTTTTTTATTTAGATAACACTGTCACTGATATATAGCTCTCATACCAGATGGTAGTAGTGTACTGAAAATGATCAAATAGTAAAAGCAAATTTGTGACGATAGGTTTTATATTACTGTATTAAACCACAGCACTAATGATGGGTCTGATGACTAAAATAAACAGTATTTCAAACACTTAAAATTAAAATACAAGCCAAAAAACGGTTTTTCTACTGAAAATAGATTCAAAGACTTACTGCAAGGCCTGAAATTTTGAAAATGCTAGAGAAAAAATTTCAAGCTAAGTGCATAGGCAACAATTTTCTGAAAAGGACTAATAGCTCAGAAAAGAATACAAAGAACTGATAAGGGGCCACCAGTGAGATGGCTCAGAAGGAAAAGGCTGCCAAGCCTGGTGACCTGAGTTTGATCCCCAGAACATATGGTAGAAGGAGAGAACAAACTCCTGAAAGTTGTGCTCTGACCGTCACATGCGTGCTGTGGTGCATGCTCCCCACACAAGAGCAAACTCACATGCACACACATGCTCACAACACCCCCAACACAGCAAATGAATATAATAAAAGTGCAAAGAATTGACAAATGAAATTTAAAAACTTCGGCAAAGCAAACAACCAATCAAGTAACAGCCTGCAAAATGGGAGAGAAATCTTTGCCAATTATATATCCAACAGGAAATTAACACCTAAAATCTGTACAGATCTTAAAAAATTGAACACCAAAACCAAAGCCACCAACCAAAAAACCAAATCATCCAAGCCAGGGGGGGTGTGGTACACACCTGCTCACCTGCATCCTGGCACTTGGGAGGTAGAAACAGGAGGACCAGAAGTTCAAGGTTATTCTCAACTAAAAGAGAGTTTGAGGTCAACCTGGGCTACAAGAGACCATGTTGCAAAAAACTAAAAAAACAAACAAATCCCCAAATCACTTCATCAATAAATGGGCAAATGAATTGAATAGATAAGTTCCCCAAAGAAGAAGTACAAATGCCCAGTAAGTACTTAAAAAGTGTTCAAGATTCTTAAGTCATCAGGGAAAGAAAATTAAAACTGCACTGAATTCTATTTCACCCTAACCAGAAGGGAAAATAATTGACAGCAAAGGCTAGTGAGGGTGTGGGAAGAGGAACCCTTATTCACTGTTGAAGGAGGGGTATAAACTGGTACAGCCACTACTGAAATTCAATTTTTAAAAAGAGACTTACAACATGAGGACTGGAGATATGGCTCAGTCAATGGAGTGCTTCTTGCCTAGCATATACAAAACCCTGGGTTCGAACCCTAGCACCACAAAAAACCAGGCATGGTAGTATATGCCTGAACCCTCAAAACTTGGGAGGTAAAGGCAGGAGAATTAGAAATTTAAGGTCATCCTTGGCCACACAGTGAGGCCAGTGTAGGTTACATGAGACTGGTCTCAAAAAGTAAAGACTTTCCACATGCTGTTGCTGTCCCATACCTGAGAGTACCCTTGAAAGACTCGATTCAGCACACCACAAAATGCTTGCATATCCAGGTTTACTGTTGCACTATTCACAATAGCTAAGGTATGGAATCATCCTAGTTACTACCAACAGATGGATAAACTGTGATGTATCATACAAAGACACGATGGAGGCCATAAATAGAACTGATTCATTTGCAGGAAAATGGATGGAACTGGAGATCATCATAACAAGCAAAATAAGTCCAATCAAGAAGGACCAACAGTATATGTTTGTTCTTGTATGTAGAATCCAGATTTTAAAAATTAAAGATTAAAAAATTAAGGCCGGGCATGGTGGAACACGCCTTTAGTCCCAGCACTCAGGAGGCAGAGGCAGGCGGATCTCTGTGAGTTCAAGGCCAGCCTGGTCTCCATAGTGAGTTCCAGGCCAGCTGGAGCTGCAGGGAGACCCTGTCTCAAAAAGACGAAAAAAAAGAAAAAGGAAAATACATACCATGAAAGAAGGAGTACGTAGGGCAGGGGACAGAGGGGACAAGAGAGGGTGGTGGAAGGGCAGTGTTTCCGCTTATGTGAAATCTAGATTTAATTACATATAAACACACACAGCTCTACAACATGAAAGCAGAAGGGGGACCATTAGGGGACCAGCACGATGGGGAGGAAGGCTGGGAGGGGAGCAGAGGATGAAGATGAGCACAGTACAGTCACATGCATGCAAATATCCTAACAAAATCCATGCTTTCGGATGCTAACTAAAAAATCTGATTTCTGCTGGTACAAAACCGTAAGTACTATTAATAGTGTTGTAAATTGTTGTCTAGATTTGTAATTTAAAGAAATGCTAGCTTTCAATTAGAGTTTAGAAAAAAACTAAAAACATGAACCAGGCGTGGTAGCACATGCCTTTAAACCCAGCACTGGGGAGGCAGAGGCAGGCAGATCTCTTTGAGTTCCAGGCCAGCCTGGTCTGCATATACAGTTCCAGGCCAGCTGGGGCTACAGAGAAACCCTGCCTTAAAAATAACAAAAAAAACCCACACATTTTCCCCCACCCATTCAAAGTATATAAACTGTGGATCTACAAAGTCCTTTGGGAGAAGAGTCTGTGGACCCAGGGTAGGAACTCTTGAAGCTAGACCCTAAAAAGACTTCAGTTATCTTTAGAAAAACTATCAAGATATGTATCTTACTTTCAAACACCAATTAGCTCACTTTAGAACACCCAACTAAACATAGCTATCAGGGGGATAAAATATAGTTAGAATCATTTGGTCAACATATTCTCTTAAACAAAACAAAGCCTAGAGCTGCAATCCCAGATGTCATTGCACTACCCACATATACATGTGTGTTCATACCTCAACAATGCCTAATTCTTGTCTTTGCTGAATTTTTCTTCTCCACCTCATTGCCGCAACTGCTAGTTTTTGCTGGTACTCAGTGACGCCAGTCAGAGCATCAAGTATGGAACTGCTTCCCCATTCATAGTCTTCTTCCTAGAGGATTAGTCCAATCAACTTTTGAGTTCTTCTGATACACAGGGCACTGTGCCATGTGCAAGTTTCTGGCCTCCAGGAGTCTTCAGTCTAGTAAGATGAAAGCTGTATGCTCAACTCTCAGAGAATACCAAGTAAATGTTTTGTGAGCACATAGGAAATGTAGATTCATTTGGTTTTATGTTAAGAATCAAGTGTACTTGGTTTTTAATTAAACCCAGAAATATGCTACAGACATTTTCCAGAACCATGCTCCTTGGTCAGAAAAACTATACTTTGGCAACTGGTAATATTCAGGTTATTTGGCTTCACAAAGGGACAGTCAGAGGCAGCATGAACTGAGAAGCTTCCCAAGGGAGCTCGGACTGGCAGCTTCCAACATGGTGGACACTGTGATGGTCAGTTTACAATAAGCAGTTTAATATCTAATGGGCTAATAGTAAAGAGAAGAGCTTACAATGAGATAATCCTGAAACTTTCTCATGTTAAGAGAATATTTCAATAAGGAAAAAATGACAAATATTAAGTAAAGCACAGTGAAATCCATTCTTTTGTATGCAAACTGAAAACTTTAAGAAAAAGGATGAATAAAAAAAATCTGACCTTAATTTCTTTGCTGTTACTAAGAGTCTTATAGAGCAGCACAAACTGACCTGTCTGTGTGATTATTTCATTCATCTGCATGGTCAGTGTGTGAGTAGGAATCCTTCAGAGTACACACCTGCACGAAGCGCCCAGCAGCTCTGCATGCTTCCAGGTAGGAGCGATGAAGCACCCACTTCCCAGCGGCCATGGAGGCTAAGTACTTCTCGTTGCGAAGTGGGTGTCCCACAACCATGTGTGTACAGCTGGGGTCAGAGCACTGCTTCTCTAACACAGACCCACCTTGCGTAGAGAAAAACAGTTATAAGAAAAAAAAATGAAATCTCAACGATGTATAAAAATTACCTATATAAACTATACAACCTAAATTAAAAAAACTTTTGATATATAGGTGTGTAAAACTTATACTTCATCACCCCACTCCATTCTCCCCCCCCTCCCCTTTTTTTGAAAAAAGACAAGGTCTTACTTTGCAAACTTGAGACTGTATGGACTCAGGTCTCCCAGGGCCTAGGGTTACAGGAGTGAGTCAACATTTCTGGGTGGCCCCATTATTTCTGAATGCTTTCCTTCTCCATGCCAAGCTGAGATTAAGTACTCTTACTGAAATTATCCTGACTGTATTATCTCACTGATATATTATACTCACTGCATGTTGAGGAATACTTTGCAGATAGTGGGTTAAATAATATATATATTTGTTCTTTTTGAGACAGGAGCTTCCTGTAATCCCGGATGACGTGGAACTTACTGTGTAGATCAGGTTGGCCTTGAACTCAGAGATCCCCCTGCCTCTGCCTCCCGAGGGCTGGAAATAAAGGTGTGTGCCACCACACCCGACATAAAAAATATTTTTAAAGGTAATTTCACCTGCTTCTTTTTACTTACAAACATGGCCACTAGACAGTGTGGTACCACACAGGTGGCCCAGGTCCTGTTCCTACTGGCCAGCCCTGCTCAACACATGAGGTCTCTTCTAGTTTGTCCCTTCCAGGTATTGGAGGAAGAGCCTGACAGCTAGGGTTCAGGCTAATGTTACATGAGGAGGAATCTTCTGGATGCTACTACACTATTTTTGCTCTTTCGTTTTTAGAGAGGGTCTCATATAGTCCAGGCTGGTCTTGAACTTACTATGTAGTAGAGGATGACTTTAAATCCCTGATCTTGCTTCCATCTCCTGAGTGCTGAGACCACAGGCGCATATCACCATGCCCAGCTAAATTTTTATTTTCAGGTCCCACGAAAATTTTGGATGTAGACAGAAAATTTTGGATGTAGACAGAAGCTTTAAAGAATCGAACCCCTAATGCTGACTTGATGTACAGGTTTGAATAAGTTATCCATATTCTTTTCTCAACTTCTACACATTACAAATAATGGCATGTCAATGCATTTGTCTTCCAAATAAGGTTGCAACAATGACATAAATACTGGGAAAAAATTAAAATAAAAAATAAAATACTTGGCACCTAGTTTTTCAATCAGGTGACAATAATCAATCCGTTCTTGAGGATTCAGCGAGGACATCTGGAATATATACCGTTTTTTCAGTTTTTCATGAGCCTCCTCCAGTGTTTCAATCTGGAATGGAGTAGTTTTATTTTAGAAAATTTAACATTAAAACATTATCTAGTTAGCTAATTTACAGTGACATTGTATACAGCCTTCTAAGGAATTAAACATATAAACTATAATAAAATCAAAGAAATGCAGTTTTCACTAGTGATAAATCTTGGTAACAACAAATTTCTACTCCAGCATTGACAGCAATAGTCACATGCTATTATCACCGCACAAGGATCAACAAACCTCCTCCATAGGTTGTGGAGTCACATGTGGGTTGGCCACAGGTGGGTTGGCCAGGGGGAAAGCAATGCTGGGGGCTTGTGGTGTGGGGATTAGCTGACTGTCTTCTGTTGAAGTTTCTGGTTCTTCAGAGATTGAGTGTTCAGAGGCTTCAGTCACACACACACTTCCAGGATCACAAACAGCTGGGGACAAGAAAAAAGCTACAGTGCGATAGTATCAAAATACTGGGACGTATTTCATCTGTCTTGGTTAAAATGAAATGAACCATGAACTCTACAATGTAAAAAGTACATGCAGGCTGAGGCAGGGTGGTGCCTGCCAATAACCCCCGCAATTTGGGAGGCTGAATGAAGCAAGAGAATCCCAAGTTTGAAACCAGCCTGGGCTACAGAACATGACCTGTCTTAATATCAACTAAATTTGGAAAGTGAGAGAAATTCTTAGAGAAAATCAGAGGCTAACTCTTTATACCTCCCTCATTCAGCATAAGAAAACAACTATCCTGTGTGAGGAAAGAGAAGGAAAAGATGAAGATGGGGAGCATTTGCTTTTAAGGAAAAAAAACAAAAACTAGGGCAACTCAGGTATTAGGTGGAATTCAGAAGATCTAAGTGAAAATGAGTTTCAGGGAGACACAACAAGCATTGCCTGCACAGAAAGAGTTGGGAGAGATGACTCAGTGGTTAACAGCACCAGCTGCTCTTGCAGAGGACAAGGGTTTGGTTCCCAGCACCTACATGGCAGTTAACAACTTCCCGTAGCTCCAGTTCTAGGGGATCTTATGCCCTCTTCTTGGCCTCTAGGCACTGCATGCACATGTGCACTTACATACATGTAGGCAAAACACTCATACACATTAAAAACAAAACCAGGGACTGGAGAGATAGCTCAGCAGTTAAAAGCACTGGCTGCTCTTGCAGAGGACCCAGGTTCAGTTCCCAGCACCCACATGGCAGCTAACAACCATCTGTAACTCCAGTTCCAGGGTATCTGACACCCTATTCTGACCTCTGTGGGCACTGCACAACACAGGTACACTTACATACATGCAGGCATTACATTCATATAAAGTAAAATAATGAATAAAATACTAAAAAAAAAAAAGAATCCCAAAAATAAATAAATAAAACCCAAACAAAAAAACTAATGGAAAAAGGATGAGGAAGAACAAATAGCAAAGTAAAAGGCTCATTCTAAATTTCCAAATTAAAGATCAAAAAGCATTTTTCAATTCATTGGTACACCACCAAAATTCATTCTTCATTTCCATGTACAATGCAGAGAACCACAACCTGCTTATCTTTGAGAGGTCAAAGGATGCACAGAACACAAAGAGAACTTCCTCATTACCCTGTTTGGCCATTTCTGAATCATATGAAGGCTCTTGAAAAGGAGAATCTTCCGGTTTTTCAATGTCAACCTGAAGCTCAGAATACTGTGTGGGACAGCTAGGCCACTGCAAGTTGCTGGCGAGCCTCGCTCTCTCCTCCCTCGCTGTTGGGTCATCCCAAATGATTTGCTCACTCTGGGAGAGTTCTGTGTTGATGTCAGGCACTTTTTGTCGAGACTGCCTAAGGAATAAGAGACAATTTTAAACAGTCATTAGAGAATCCAAATGTATCCATGGGTTTAGAGTGAAAGTTGTGGATTACTTTTATATGCCCATCAACTAGCCCACACAGCAGGCACTTAATACCTGCTGGATAAATCAATCTTTCTTTCTTTCCTTCTTTCCTTCCTTCCTTCCGTCTGTCTTTCTTTCTTTCTTCCTTCCTTCCTTCCTTCCTTTCTTTCCCTCCCCTCCTTCCCTCCTTCCCTCCCTCCCTTCCTTCCTTCCTTCCTATCTTTCTTTTGAGACAGGGTCTCATTATGTAGTCAAGGCTAGCCTGAAACTTAAGGTGCTCCTCCTACCTCTGCTTCCCAAGTGCTAGGATTACAGGCAGGTGCCACCATACCCAGCTGATTTTTTTGTACAACAATACTCCTGGAAATTTAAATATTTAAATTTTCAAAGAGAAAATTCAACATTATCATTTTTTTTAATCCTCTAAGTTAGGAAAACATTGATAATGTTTAGAAAACTGTACATATTTTGGTTAACAATTATTTTTTGTTAAAGAGAGCATCTTATGTAGCCCAGGTTGGCTTCCACTTGCTCTACAGTCAAGATGACCCTGAACTCCTAATCTTCTTCCTCCCTCTTGCTCCACGTGCTGAGATTACAAGTGTGCACCAAACCTATCCTAAGTTAACATTTGACATTAACAGAGCTATAAGTAAAGGGATTTTTTACCCTTGTTGACCAAACTTTCCAGAGTCTATGGTAGATCATTTACTAAATTATTGAATTATGAATGCATTTAAAGCATATTTTTAAAGATTTATTATATTTGTGTGCACACACGCTTGTGTGGGTACCCAAAGAGACCAGAAGAAGGGTCCCTGGACCTGCCCAGAGTGGGTGCTGGGAACCAAACTCAGGTCTGCTAGAAGATCAGCAAGTGCTCTTAACCACTGAGCCATCTCTCCAACCCCTTAAAATATTTTCATTACATTTATTTAAATTTATTTATTTAGTGGGTGCATGAACACATGCCACAGCAAGTTCATGTGGAGGTCAGAGGATAACTGGTGGAAGTTGGCTCTCTTCTTCTACCATGTGGATCCCAGGGACTGAACTCAGATAGTTAGGCTTGGCACCAAGTGCCTTTACCCACTTGATCTCGCCGAGCCTTATGAATGCCTTTTACAGTGTAATTATGACTCCACTTAAGAGGAAATAGAATCCTACCTATGTACGCACACGCACACAACATACAGCACATTTATATATTCTTTGCTTGTTAAGACAAGATCTCATTACGTAGCCTGAGCTGGCCCGAAAACTTGGACTCCTCCTGCCTCCACCTTCCAAGGGCTGGGATTATAGGCCTAAGCACCTCATCTAGTTACAGATATTCTTACTAGAAGATTTACCAGAGTAGATGGTGCCACAAAATTCCTCTGTCTCAAAAACCTTTTATCCTCTTAGCCTTTTATTCTAGGGGTGCACTTGCTCTAACTTGGCAGAAGACTAGGCTTTCTATAGTATAAAACATGACCAAGACACTAGTTAGGAAAAAGCCACTTACCCAGCACTCAGATGAAGAACTGGCCATATGAAAAACATAGTTAGAGTTAGATAAATGAAGTTACTGGGATCATAGGGAGACCCTGTCTCAAAAAAGACAAAAAAAAAGAAGATAAATGAAAAATTACTTAGACTGTATGATCCTGGGCTGAAGAGGTGGTTCAGTGGGTAAGAGCACTGGCTGCTCTTGCAGAGGACCTGGGTTCAATACCCGGCACCCACATGGTGGTTAAACAACCATCTGTATCTCCAGTTCCAGGGGATCCGACAACTTCTTCTGACCTCTGTGGGCCCTACACGACACAGGTGCACTTACACACATGCAGGCAATACACTCATACAGATGATAAAAAAAAAAAAAATATATGATCCTGCAACTCATCATATGATCAAAGATTTTTTCCTTCTATTAAGCAAAAGTGAACTGGGTATGGCATACCAAGGCAGAAGACACTGGGCTTGAGGCCAGTTACCAGTCACATAATAAGGTTCTGTCTGGGGGAAAAAGAACTGGGTGTGCTGGTATACACCTACAATCCCACAAATTGGGAGGTGTAAGTAGGAGAATCAAGAGTTCAATCTAGCCTTGAGTGAGTTGGAGGCCAACCTGGGATACATGAGACCTTGTCCTATACAGGGGCCAGGCGTGGTGGCACATGCCTTTAATCCCAGAGGCAGAGGCGGGCGGATCTCTGTGAGTTCAAGGCCAGCCTGGTCTACATAGTGAGTTCCAGGCCAGCTGAGGCTACAGGGAGACCCTGTCTCAAAAGGACCCCAAAAAACAACAACAAAATACTGACAGGGCCAGACATGGTGGGGCACACACCTTTAATCCCAGGTCGTGGAAGGCAGAGGCATGAGCGTCTCTGTGAGTTCCAGGCTAGCCTGGTCTATGTAGGCATTCCAGGCCAGTTAGAGCTACACAGTGAGAACTCATCTCAAAATTAAATTTTAAAATAAAATAAAAATAAAGGGGCTGGAACGATGACTCAGAAATTAAGAGCATTTGCTACTCCTGCAGAGAATCTGGGTTCAGTTCCCAGTACCCACATGGGAGCTAACAACCATTTGTAACTCCAGTTCTAAGAGATCCAACACCTGGCCTCCACAGGCACTGCATACACTTGGCACATTTACATACATGCAGGCAAAATACTCATACACATAAACCAAAAACAAAAGAATTGATCTAGAGCTGCTGAGATGGTCAGTGGCTAAAGATGCTTACTGCTCAAGCCTGGAGACCTGAGTTCAATCCCTAGACCCCACACAGGGTGAAAAGAGAAAGCAAATTCCACAAGGTTGTCCTCTGACCTCCACATGTATTGTGGCATGTGCACCCATGCATACACGTCACGTACTCACACATATTATAAAACAAATTTTCAAAAACTTCTCAATTATATACTTACTCACTGTTTAGTTGCCAATATTAAAGGGGAGTGACTCCCCACTGAATCCACTTCATATGGGAAAAAGTAGGTCCTAAAATCATTTCTATCTCAAGGGAGACAAAGTGTTCATCATGCCTCATTCACCCTGAACTTGGTTCTCACAATAGGACAAACCTCTGTGTAGGCTTCCTACCTCCAAGTAAGAACTGCAAAACTGCCTGGAGCAAGAGACATCTAGTCAGCAGGAGCTGAAACCAACAGACCACAATGGAGTATAATACATATTGTTTAGGCTAACTAAGGCCCAATAGCAAAACCCCTTCATTGGTCTTAATAGTCTCAACTTCTGCTTAATGTTTATCTAGAAAGACAAGCTAAATTAGCCTAACTCACAAATATGAGTCAACACGTGCCTCAATGAGGTGCTAACCTCCTCTTAAGTGATGCCATGTTCCTGCCACCTGTGACAAGCACAAACCTGAGCGCCTCCAGGACTCGACTTCTTCCACTCCGAGCAGAGCGAGCACTGTCAGGGGTTGAAGAAGAGCTGTTACAATTGCTTCTTGACAGGCAAGTCCTCTGCACCTGTGGCTTCACGATGCAGGTAGCTGACATTATCTCCTGCAGCTGCTTCTGGAAGTTTTTTCTTATCGCCAAGGTCTGTGTTAGAGCTTGAAACAAATATCCAGTCAATACCAATCAAGAGAAACCAATCTCTCTCCCTCCCTCACTGTCTGCTGTTTGAATTAGGGTCAAACTATGGAGTCAGATTAGCCTCCAACTTGGAATCCTCTTGTCTTAGCCTCTGGAGTGCAGGGAAGAGAGGTGTCACCACCACACCCAGTTACAAATTTCTCATTGGTATCTTACACTATGTTGTCTAGATCTAGCTGAAAAAACTTAATGACATTGACAGAATAATTATAGGCATGTGAGTCTATAAATACCACAAAACACAGAGGCAGCCATAAAGACCCTCTCTCGTGGAGTGCTCTGTTCTGAGATTCATAGTCAAAGCCTAACTTTCTTCAGTGGTACTACTTGTTTCTTTCTTTTGGGGGGTAAAGGAGAAGTACAGGGTCTTGCTAAATAGCCTAGGCTGGCCTTGAACGCTCCCCCTACCTCAGCCTCCTAAGTGCTAGGATTACAACTATAAATCATTGAGTCCAGCTTTCACTAGTGAAAGCACAAACCATGACATATTTTTCTTTAGCGACTACACACTGAAGTAGGAACCAAATAAGTATTTTTGGAATGGAACGAATAGGTAAATCAGAGAAAGTTCTAGTAGGGCAGGAGAGTAAGGAAAACAGATAATCCACTAAAAAGAGAACATGTATGTTTATAAGATTATCCAAACAGCATTATCTCTAATACCAAGGAATTAAAAATAATCTGTAAATGCCTATTAACAAGAGATAGCAAGGCTGGAGAGATGGCTCAGGGGTTAAGAGCACAGGCTGCTCTTGCAGAGGACCCGGGTTCAATATCCAGCACCCACATGACAGCTAACAACTGTCTCTAACACCAGCTCTAGGAGAATCCAATGCCCCCTTCTGACTTCCATGGGCACTGCACAAGAGTGCACTTAAACACACCCAGACAATACACTCATACACAAAAAATAAAAAATTTAAAAAACCAAAAGAGATAGCAACATAAAGCAGGGCTGTCTACACACTGAATACTATACAAACTGACAATTTAAAAGACAAGAAACTCCAGCAGGGGGGGCTAAGGGAGGGTGCCAAAGGGGAAGGGTATATAGAGATGATTTTATGTATGAAACACACAAAAATTCAATAAAAGATTCTATATTGGAAAAAAAAAAAAAGACAAGAAACCCAGGCGTTTAAATCACAACACCTGGGAGGCAGAGGCAGGCATATCTGTTAGCTCCAGGCCAGCCTAGTCTACATAGTGAGTTCCAAGTAAGCAGGGACAGGGGAGGGTACAGGGGGATCTTATCTCAACAACCACCCCCGACCCAAAAAACAAAAACCAAGACAGACTGAAACATCTCCTGGGCACAGGCACACCTCTTTTCATTGCACCTCACAAACCATGTGTGCTCTGGATTGAGTGTACACCCTAAAGTTTGAGGGTTGGAAGCGTGGTCTGTGGTATGGTGGTAATGAGGTGAGAAAACTTTTAAGAGGTGGGGCCTAGAGGAAGGTGGTTAGGAACACTGCCCAAAGTGATTAATGCAGTTTTCAGAACTCAGGTTATTTCTGTTGTGAGTAGCTATAAAAAGAGCAAACCTGGTCCAATTTGCTTCTAGTCTTTCCATGTGATGATGCTGGTTCACTTACACTCTTTCCACTGCTAATAAACTCTTGCCATGATACGATATAACCAGGTCTTCACCTGAGTCCAAACTGACCAGGCTACCTGATCGTAAGACTTTCAGTCTCCAAAGCTGTTTGAGCTAAACATTTCTCTTTTCTTTATACGTTATCCAGCCCCTGATATTGTGTTACAGCAAAAAAACAAATCACTGTAATATTGGGGGCTTCCCCCCCTTTTCTTAGGAAAAGTAAGGCTGTGGCAATCCTGTATTAAGGAGTTCTACCGGCATCAATTTCCAACTCTCCCCAATAATTATACCTGTGTGGTTATCTGTGACCAATTCTCTTTGATGTTGCTACTGTGATGTTTTGGGGAGCCACAAACCATACCTGCATAAAATATCAAACAATAAATGCTAAGTGTGTGCCACATTAATTAGCTGTTTCATCTCCTTCTTGGGATCTTCCCATTCTAAGAAACAAAAATCTTGAAAAATGCCAGGCGTGGTGGTGCACGCCTTTAATCCCAGCACTCAGGAGGCAGAGGCAGGCGGATCTCTGAGTTCAAGGCCAGCCTGGTCTGCATAGTGAGTTCCAGGACACCTGGTCTCAAAGAGACCAAA